AAATGGGGGGAAATGGGGAAAAATGGGGGAAAAACGGGGAAAAATGGGGGGAAATGGGGAAAAATGGGGGAAAAATGAGGGGAAATGGGGGAAAAATGGGGGGAAATGGAAAAATGAGGGAAATAGCGAAAAAATGGGGGGAAATGGAAAAATGAGGGGAAATGGGGAAAAATGGGGGGAAATGGGGGAGAAATGGGGGAAAAAGGAGGGGAAATGGGGAAAAATGGGGGGAAATGGGGGAAAAATGGGGAGAAATGGGGTTTGGGATCCTCATCAACCCATCGCCATCAAGGCCGAGTGTGAGTTCTGTGGCTGGGAGGAGGAATGGGGGGTCTGGCACCCCCTCAGGGGGTCCTGGGGGGTGTCTGGACCCTCCCCCGGTGTCGGGGGGTGCTGTGGGACCCCCCCTGACCCTGTGTCCCCCTCCCCAGGCTCCATCCGGCTGCCCAAGGCTGCCAAGGCCCCCCTGAAGATCCACCCGCTGACCCGGCTGCCCCTCGCCGCCATCGTCAAGGAGCTGGGTGAGGGGGCCTGGGGGGTCTGGGGGGGATTTTGGGGGGCCTGGGGGCCCTGGAGGGGCTTTTGGGGGGGCCTGGGGGGGCTTTTTGGGGTGTTGGGGATACAGGAAAGGGGGTCCAGGTGAGTCTGGGGGTGACACGAGGCTGTTGGGGGGGGTCCCGGGGGTGGGGGGTGCACAAACAGGGGTGACCCCAGGGTGGGGGAGGGGGGCTCAGGGCTGGATTTCGGGAACTGGGGGACACCCCTGACCCCCCCTCCCCCCCTCCCCAGCGGCTCAAGCCCCCCTGAAGCCGAAGACCCCTCGAGGCACCAAGACCCCGATCAACCGGAACCAGCTGAGCCAGAGCCGGGGGCTGGCGGGGCTGGGGGGAAAGAGGGGCTACGAGGGGGGGGGCGATGGCCACCGGCCCCCCCGCATGAGGGTACGGGTGATTGACAGGGGCACGGAGTGATTGACAGGGGCACGGGGTGATCGACAGGGTGGAACTGGGGTGATTGACGGGATGATTGATGGGTCGGTGGGAGGGGACTGGGCAGTTTTGGGGTGATTGACAGCAGGGCCTGTGGGGACTGGGCGGGGCCTGGGGGTGATTGACAGATGCTGGAGCTTGTGGGGGTGGGGTGTGAGGTGATTGACAGGGCTGGAGTGATTGACAGGGAGCCTAACCTGGGGGTGGAGCTTTGGGATGATTGACAGGGGTAGAATGTGGGGGTGTGGCTTGGTATGATTGACAGTGGGCGTGGCCTTGGAGTTAAATTGTTGCGGGGATGGTTTGTGGGCGGGGATTGCATTTGATTGACAGCGGCGCTGTGGGGATTAAGGCGGGGTTACAGTTGAGTGGCAGCTCGGGGCGGGCTGTGATTGGTCGGGTGCCGCGCGCGCGCGCGCGCGCCTGAGGGGTGAGCCGCGATTGGCCGGCGGGCGCGCGCGGCGCGCTGTGATTGGCCGGGGGGGCGGGGCTGACGTTCCCGCGCAGGTCGGAACGGCGGCGCTGCCGTTCTCGGCCAACGGGCGCCCCCTGGCGGCCGCGCTGCGCCCCGCGCCCCCCCCCGGCAGCAAACGGCAGAAACTGAACCCGGCGGACGCCCCCAACCCCGTGGTGTTCGTGGCCACCAAGGACACCCGGTACGGCGGGCCCGGGCCCTCCCGAGCGGGTTTGAGGGGTCCCGAGGGGGTTTGGGGGGGTCCCGAGGGAGTTCGGTGAGTCCTGAGGGGGTTGGGGGGGTTCTGAGGGGGTTTGGCGAGTTCTGAATGGGCTTGAGAGGGTCTTGGAGAGCTTTAGGGGGGGTCACAAGAGGGTTTGAGGGGGTCCTGAGGGGGTTTGGTGGGTCCTGAGGGGGTTTGAGGAGTCCTGAATGGGCTTGAGAGGGTCCTGAGGGGGTTTGAGGGAGTCTTAAGGGGGTTTAGGGGGGTTCTGAAGGAGTTTAGGGGGGGGTCCTGAGGAGATTTGGGGAGTGTGGAATGGGCTTGAGGGGGTCTTGAATGGCTTTAGGGAGATCCCGAGGGGTCTTGAGGGGGTCCTGAGGGGGTCTGCAGGGTCCTGAGGGGGTTTGAGGAGCCCTGAATGGGCCTGAGGGGGTCCTGGAGGAGTTTAGGGGGGGCCTGAGAGGGTTTGGGGAGTCCTGAATGGTCTTGAGGGGGGTCTTGAAGGGGTTTAGGGGGGTCCTGAGGGGGTTTAGGGGGGTCCTGAGGGGGTTTAGGGGGGTCCTGAGGGGGTCCCTAAGGGGTCTTGGACGCTGTCGAGGGAATTTGGGGAAGCTTGGAGTGAATCCTGAAGGGGTCTGGGGAGGTCCTTGGGGGCCCCCGAGGGGGTTTGGGGGATCCTGAGGGGGTTTGGGGGGGTCCTGGCTACATCTGGGAGGTTCCGGGGGTGTTCATGGCCACCAGGGACACCCGGTACGGGGAATTCGGGACTTTTGGGGTGAGGATCACACAGGAATTGTCGGTCACACCCCGGGGGGGGGGGGGGGGGGGGGGGGGGAGTCGCAGGTAGTGGTCGGGCGCGCGGGGGGGGGGGGGGGGGTGGGGGGGGGAAGGATCTCAGCGAGTTTTGGGGGTGACCCCTCCCATCCGTCCCCCCTTCCCCAGGGCGCTGCGGAAGGCGCTGACGCACCTGGAGCTCCGCCGCGCCGCCCGGCGCCCCAACCTCCCCCTGAAGGTGAAACCGGGGCTCCCCCTGCGCCCGGGGGGGGCCCTGGCGCCCCCCGCCCCCCCTCACCCCTCCAGCACCTCGGAGCCCATCGTGCTCGAGGACTGACCCCCGTCACCCCGGCCCGGCCCCTTTTGTATTTTTTTTATTTCCATAGAAAATCTCGCGGGGGGGGTTGGGGGGGGTCCGGTGCCCCTCCCCCGCTGTCCTTTCTGCCCCCCCTCCC